TTTGTAGTTAGCCTTCTATATACTCTCACTCGTATATATGTCGGAAAGGGGCCAGATCGGACGACTATGGGAATTATAGGAGAAAATGTGAAGTTTGGAAAAAAAAAGGTTAATTTTATTGAGTAGAATTTAAAAAAAAGTAAATTTAATTATTAATAAACATGAGCATTGACTTCTTTGTTAAGTTACTCTTACTTGAAGTTCTGTAAAAAAATTATTTGAAGCTCAGCTCATCAGTAATTAGGAATTTTAACATTTAAAAGTTGTTTCCGCTAAGTCCCTCTGCAACGTCAATTGAAAGAAAAGAATGACAATTATGGCAGGTTTTGTGTTAAATTCTGTGGCGGACGGGTCTCTGTGAAGATTATTTTTACCGCTGCGCTGAAATGTATGCTTCAACTTCCGTCAGTGACACGAGGCCAAGTCGAACTTCAATTATAATTTCATTATAATGCAATTCACCTTTTTGTTCGTCGAGAAGCTGATTTGTGTTGGCATCGCGACTTTATTTCTCTTTACGTTTTAGGCAAGGCAAACCTTTGTCTTCTTAAAGAATGGTATTTTCCTTTTTATACCCTTGCAGGGTATTATAATTTGAGTCAGAAGTTTGCAGCGAAATGAAGTATATATATTCTTGATCGGCATCAACAGCCGAAGCAATCTGATTGAAACTTTGTAGTTTGTCTTGTGAGGGATTTTTCGTTTTGCAAAGAATTCCTTCAAAAAATGTTCTTAATGGGACATTTTATTTTTATTAAATTTTTTATTATTTATTATATCATAAATATTTATTTTATTTTAGCCCCTCTTCCTCCTCCACCGGCTGCTGCTGTTGTTGCTGCTACAGCTCTTCATCGGCCGGTATCTCCTACGATGGAGGCTCCTGTTCCGGCAAAGGGCGGAGCACCTGCATTATGCCGAGCCGAACACGGCGTTGGTCGTCTCTTGAGTAGCTCTGGGATATTCTAAAGGCATATGCCTGGCGTTGTTGCCTGTTAAGGCCACCGCGTCCAGGGAATCCGCCGCCTCCACCTCGTTGACCGTCGCCGCCTCCACCTCGTCGAATGTCGCCGCCTCCACCTCGTCGACCGCCAGCGCCACCACCGCCAATCTGATTTCCGCCGAAAAAATAGAAATTCATTTTCTAAAAAAGAAAACAAATTAAAATAATTTAACTACATTTTATAAAATATATTGTGCGCTTACTTTAGAACGCGTGCTTGCTTTTTAAAAAATTGGATTTACCGGAATTTAGTTCCCGACTTATTCATCGATAGGGCGTGGGAAGCGGCCCTATCGATATATCGAAATATATAATTTATATATTACAGTCGAATCCCGATAATTCGTACCCCGCTAAATCGAAAATCGCGATAATTCGTAAAAAATTCTGTCCCCTTGAAAAAAACTCGTTAATTCGTAAAAATTCCATACATTTTGGTCCCCTCGTTAATTCGTAGTATTTGGCGCAACGCAAAGAATATTCAACCTCTTATAAATCGTAATTTTGTTTCGAAACCTCTTATAAATCGTAATGCGATGCGAAATATTTTGACGACGTTAGATTTTGCAGACATCAGAACGGAGAAGAAATTTTATAGAATTTACAAACCAGAGCATTAATTCCTCAACTTAAACATTATTTTTCGACTCATGATGTGCCAAATAGTGTGTGACAACCTAATAGGTTTAGAAAACGCAATGGAAAAAATAAAAGAAAAAAACACGAAGCAATAAAAAATTACCAATTATTTTAAAGCTTGAAATTTCGTTTTTAATAATTTAATGTTCCTGCTTAATTTTGTTTGTTAATTTTTTGTTTAATTTTCCTTTAATTTGAAAAACGTACAAATGAATGTACATATTTATTATGTTTGTTTAATTTTAATAAAGCTAAACACATATGTAAACATTATGTGAAATGTAAGTACTCCGTTTATTCGACTCTTTCATTTTTGAGCCCCTTTAAATAGAAATCTCGATAAATCGAATTCCCGTCTAATTCGTAAAATAAGTGATCCCCTTGCCATTTCGAATTATCGGGACTCGACTGTATATACAATATATAATATATACAATACTGAAATGCTTGGAATGTCAATTCCATTCATGTGGCATGCATATTTTATACAATTCTTAAATGGTTAATAGGAATATTTTCTGGCGGGCTATTCATCGATAGGGCGTGGCAAGCGATATGAATGAGTTGGAAAAAGAAATTGCTGATTTCTCAAAATCTGACGGTTAGATCGAATTAAGATTTAATTCGATATTAGAGAATATGTTTCCCTTTCTTTTGAGATACCGTGCAAGTTTGCACGCGTTCATTTAAGGGAGTTACAATTTTTTTAAAGTTAGCGTCGGAATATGGTATGGGGCATGGCACATGGCGTTAGGGTCATTACGAAACCAGTGTTTGTGAATGAGGTCGGAAAGAGAAACACTTGAATTTCTCAAAATCTGACGGTTAGATCGAATTAAGATTTAATTCGAAATTAGAGAATATGTTTCCCTTTCTTTTGAGATACCGTGCAAGTTTGCACGCGTTCATTTAAGGGAGTTACAATTTTTTAAAAGTTAGCGTCGGAATATGGTATGGGGCATGGCACATGGCGTTATGGTCATTACGAAACCAGTGTTTGTGAATGAGGTCGGAAAGAGAAACACTTGAATTTCTCAAAATCTGACGGTTAGATCGAATTAAGATTTAATTCGAAATTAGAGAATATTTTTCCCTATCTTTTGAGATACCGTGCAAGTTTGCACGCTTTCATTTAAGAGAGTAAGATTTTTGTAAAAGTTAGCGTCGATTTTGGTTCTCGGGGAGCGGCATAACATGCCGCCATGGTATATACTAAAATAATCTAAAAATAACAAAATAGATAAATTTTCCTTAATTTAGATGAAAATCACACTAAATTGTTTTGAATGGCTCTTCTATTTATTGTCAGTCACTTTTCTTAATATTTTATTCAACAAATTGCTATTTTCATTTAATTTAGTATTTTTCTTAACATGGTTCCATGGTCTGGTTCAGCGAGTGGTTCTCTGCTGGTTCCCATCTGGTTCCATTTTCATAGTTCGCGCCTTGGATATCAGCCCAAATACACCACCCACTGTTATTCGATTTTCTGGAAATCTGACTGTTAAAAACAATTGAAATTTTCACCAAATATTCCTTAATCTTCCCCTAGTAAGCCTATATACCGTGCATATGCGCACGCGTTCGTAAATCGAAGTTATATGCCTTACTATTTTTGATGCCTTATTTTGTATGGAGCCGACCCCGAGGTTAGATCACTGTAATGCAATTTGCTCAAAAACTGACGGTTTGAAAAAATTGAAACTTGGTACGCTAAAAGTACAATAAATGTCCTTTTTTTTGGCGTATCGGGTATTGCTGCACGCGTTCGATTAGCCGAGATATTAAGAAATCCGTGAAAACACGATTTTTCTCATGCTTTTTTTTAATATATCCAACTGTCAAATCCTTTCAAACCCAGTATAAAACAATATTAAATTCATTTTTCAGCATTTTGAAACTGTATTTTATTCAAATTAGTGCACTAATTACGAAATAAATTAAAAATTAAATGTCCCCGCCGTGTTCCATTTTCCCACCGTTCCATTTCGACGCTAACTCATCGACGCTCATTTGACGGACATATCCTCTTAATAGAAATGCGTAGGCATCGGTGTATGAATATCTTGATGTTTTTGTACAAAATTGAAATAATTGCTTTAAATTTATTTCAAAGCACTCTTAAGCTTGTATTAAAAAAATCAATATTTGCTCACTTTGCTCCATAAAATCAACTTAAAGAACTATTAACCTAGGTCATTTCATTTAAATATCTTAAACATTAAATAAAAATGCTCATTTTTATTAATAAACATTAGCTTATTAACTATGTCCGGGGCGATTCCGTCTGTCATAAAATTGACCCAGTTTCAGTGTTGCCAGGTTAGCTTATTATAAGCTAGTTCTAGCATATTTGAAACTAGAAAAGCTTGAAAAATTTCCATCTAGCTTATAGCTTGAAATATAGCTTATTTTAAAAGTCACCTAGCATATCTTAGCTTTTTATGTATTTTTGAAATCCACGAAATGTTTTGTACGAAAAATATGCTATATGGCATGAAAATATCGGAGTTTGTTCTTTTTTTGCCGATGGTTATGTGCATTTCATGTGATCGTGAACTTATTTCTAATCGAAAGTGTCATGGGAGATCGATTTGTTGGCTGAAATGTTACCACCAATAATTTTGTTGTGTTGTGAAAATAAGTAAAACGTGTGCTCAAAATGCCGAAAGTTATATACAAACAGATTTTTCGGGATGCCTTGCACCAAAAGAACGAATTCAAGGCGTGGTTACGCAGTGTCAAGAGAAGGAACCAAAGCATATTGTTGCTACTGTAAGTCGACAATATAAGCCAAAATCTTTGAAATCTGGCAGCATGCGGCATCGAAAAAGCACACTTTCAATGCGATCACTTGCTGAATCGCAAAAAATAAATTTTCCGGCTAAGTGTTGCAAGACTCAGGATCAGAAGGCAGCGATTTGTTTGTTCATTGCCGAACACTCGGCAATATTGCCAGTGGACCATTTGTCGCGGTTGTGCACAACTAAATTTAATTTTAATTTTAACATATTCAATAAATTATAGGTCTATTAACAATAAATTGTGAATTAAAATTTAAGTTTAAAGACCTTATCATAAATATAGCCCCCAATGATTGTTGCCATCCATATAAAAAAATAATAATGTTTCGTGTTTTCTCTAATTTGGGTGTAGCTTGTTTTTTTTAGCATTTTTTAAAAATTGTTTAGCTTATTCTAGCTTTTTTTTTTTTTAATCTAGCTTATACGGGCGCTCAACACCTGGCAACACTGCCCAGTTTTATTATTATTTCCTTTGACTTTGCTCTTGATAGTGACGGGATCGAAACATCGAGTAAAAAAAAAACATCGATGATTTAGAGAACTCGGAAAACATCGATGCATTTATTTTTTTTATCGATGTTTCTTCACCTCTACTTAAGCACAGGAAATATAAATTGTATTGCCTTTTATATAATAACATTTTCCCTACTATGGAAGAATACGCTCGGGAACCTTGCCCATATAGAATAGTTGACGACTGTGGGGGTGCTTTTGCTATGGGATGTATTGGAGGTGGCGTATTTCAGGCAATCAAGGGATTTCGTAATGCGCCTTCTGGTGTAAGCAGAAGATTGGTATGTAATAAACACAACAACGATCGGTTTTCTAAGAAAATGCTTTAATTCTATATCTACCAACTTAAAAAAATATATTTGCATATACAAAAATATATGGATTATGTACTATGTTTGTATATGTATATATGTATGCAAATTCAGCGCTTCCTCTTAATTAAAACTTATACCATTGCAGAATATTAGAATTTTAGTCGCAAATTTTCATACTAGTAAAGGAAACATTTCCGGCCCCTTAAAAGTATATACATATCTACATATGTATGTATGTATGTAGATAGATTCTTGATCAGCATCAACAGCCGTGTCGACCTTGCCATGTCCGTCTGTCCGTTTCTACGAAAACTAGTCTCTCAGTGAAGATACATACATACATACATACAGTTTGTCAAGTAATTCTTTGCAAAACGAAAAATCCCTCACAATTTTGTGTTTAAACTGAAAATTTATTAACAAATACAAGAAATTTTAAAAATGTTCTTTTATAATATTATTAGGATAATTTTAATCTATAGATATAAAAAACAAAACTTAAATATTTTAACTTAAAACATAGTAAAAAATAACAAAAACAAAAACATTGCAATTCGTTTGCTGTCAATTAATTCTTTGCAAAATGCTTAGCGGCTAGCGCTTGCATTGGGGGACAAATTATTTAAGTTATCTAACTATAATTACTTCTTATTTTAATTTAAGTTTTTTCACTTGCTAAAAAACAACAAATAAGTGCGCTAAAAATGCGAATAAGTGAGCCGCCGCTTCGGCGCACTGGCTGTGGCCGCCCAAAATCTTAAAAAAAAACTGCATACAGAAATTTGAAGACGCATACAAACGTGCGAGCCCTTGTACACATATACACAGAAACGAGAGCACAGCGCAAAGAAACGCACCCCTGCTCATCGTTCCACGGTCGAAAAGTGAATTCTTGTTGTGCCCGGTTTCGAACTCGAAAAAGCCGAACGCACTCTGGGGTTCTAGACATATCGTTCGGGTGCTCTGGGATTCCAGGCTCAGCCGTTTTGGTGATAGTACTTTTTTGTAGTGTTTGACTTCTCTATGTATTTCTTGCTTAGTGCTTTTAGTCAACAGTTTAGCAGATGGCTCCGTTGCATCAACTTGACTTATTGCATTTTGTAGTGTTTGACTTCTCTATGTATTTCTTGCTTAGTGCTTTTAGTCAACAGTTTAGCAAATGGCTCCGTTGCATCAACTTGACTTATTGCATCTGCAAAAGGAAAATATGGAAAATAAATCGAAATCAATATCTAAAAAAAAAACAACATAATTACCTAAGAGTGCTAAGTAGAACTTCTTATGGTCTCGAAGCCTTTTCTTACACTTCGCACCATCGATGTATGTATCTTAATAGCTGCATGCAGACACGAAGTGGGAGGAGGGAAAGATGGACACAAAATAGAAGACAGAATTGATACGAAAGTAAACTTTTTTAAATCTTTACATAAAAACTTACCTGATATATAATTTTAATTATTGAAAACTGAACAGTGAAGTGCATGTGAATTAGTAGGGATCGATCTGCGAAAGAAATGTTTTACTCATGGTCAACTGTATGTTGGTCTATCGCGAGTAGGAGCCCCTGAAAATCAATTTATTTTGCTGCCACAAAATAAAACAACATCAAATATTGTTTACAGAGAAGCTCTAACCAAATAAATGTATTTTCTTTTAGGGTTATGACCTCAATAATTGAAATAAAAATACAAATAAATAAAGGATGAATATGTGTCATATTATTATTATTAGTATGAATGTGTTAAAATTGACTAATCTAAATGTAATGTTTAATGCCCGTGCGAAGCCGGGACGGGCCGCTAGTCTTTTTATATAAAGATATCAGTAGACAGCTAAGCTTTCAGTGGACGTGTTTCCCTGTGCTCTACCTTCGTTCAATGTTTTTTCTCCGAACATTTGTTCTGCAAAATCAAAATTTTTGGCAAGTCAGTGTTTCGGCGCTCTATATTTACCCAAAACATCTGGATCATTTTATATAAAGACAGTGACTTTAACCTCCGAAAACAAAATTCGGCTTTATATTATTTTCTATATGCCTTTCGCTTTTGTTTTCTTGTGTTCTGCGATTACCGCTTACTGCTACATCGGAATCAGCGTTGTTAGTGCAATCGACTTAGATAAAAGCTTTCATATTTTCTTGCTCTGTTTCTGTTTAGATCGGTTTCTACCCCGCGCAATTTTTTTTGTGTGCGTGCTTATTACGAGTTATCAGTAATATAACTCAATAAGTTATGTTTATATGTTGTATTTCGGTTTTTATTTTATGAAAATCGGGCGACTATAACATATAGCTGTCATACAAACAATCGTTAGATATAGATATTACTTTATTGTTTTTTAACATAAATATATTGAAATTATATATATTTTTTATATATATATTCCTAGTGATCGAAGTTAAACCTGCAAGGGTATTTTTTATTTTGTTGTTAAACCAAAGATTTTGCCTATTTTAAATAGGTTTCTTTTCATATTTATTTGAAACTTACCTTATTTTAATTTATTTATTTTCGCAAAACTAAAAATAGGTTTAAACTAAAAACTAATATAGAAATTAAGATCATTAGCTACTGTGGCTATTTACGTATTAAGATCTTTAGATGTGATAGTGAACTTAGAACTGAAATTTGTTTGGGAGGTTGAATTTGGGAAGAAAGGAAAGAATTTTTTTTGAGTTTTCAGTTCTTGATTAACTAGGAGTTGGATTGGGGACTCGCAGGAAAGGGATAAGGTTCTAGACTCACTAATTCGTGCTTAATATCTATCGCAGTGTTATTGCAGAGGAGACTTTAAAGTGCGTTCATGAGTATATTCTGTCTGCCCTAGGCGTATTCGATTAATTATGTTTATGGATTAATAATGCAAATACATATTTGAGTCTCAAAACTATCTGTTTACGCAGTGTGATTCCTCTATCCGATTCGAAATGTCCCGTAGGCTCTCTCCCTCTCTATCAGTTCAAAGACCATTTAATCCGCTCGCCCAAGCTAGATTTAATTTGTATGTTATATTTAGTTCAAAATTACATTTCCACCGATAAAGATCCTACGCACGTCGCGTAATTGCCTGAAACAGTTACAGTGTTATCATTTATCGAGTGTTTTACTACACTATCTAATAAGACTTTCGTTTAAAAAAAAAATCAAAAACCTTTATGTGGTTATAATTATTTTTCGATGTCTGCCTATATAAACTTGTTCTTAAATCTTAATTTCGTCATAAGTCATTGGAAGATACTGGATGAAAATTTGGATGCAGCATTATTCGAAATAACAAAACCACATTTTTCCTACAAAAAAAAAAAAGATTTTTTTTGAAAACGACAGGAATGAGTCATGTTAACGTTCGACGCACCTTTTGGCGTTGTTCTACGTCTATTGACAGTGAAAAGGCTTGTTGTTGGGTTAACTTGGAGTTGGATTGGGTTTTCGTGGAAAATAGATATGGTTGTGGGTTGGGAAAGTGCATTGTAGTTTAATAAGATTTTATATTAGATGTCCTACAGAACGGGCAAACACTGTGAAGTGATCTTTTCATTTGTGAGTTGTGTGTATCCTAGGCTCATCCCATTATTATTTATTTATTAATTTTTATTGTTGTCTTGGCGGTGTGTTTTGGGTGAACTGTTTGTAGCATTTTTTGCGTTATCATGGCTGTCACGTCCACTCTCTCATTGCCTTTTATTCTTATGTAGTTTAATTTTAATTAGTTTAATTTAAACAATTTTGAGTTCGTTATAAATTTTATGGAGCATAGTGAATTATGGTATATAGCGTATTCGAGGTTTTTTTTACGTTTTTATACCCTTGCAGGGTATTATAATTTCAGTCAGAAATTTGCAACGCAGTGAAGGAGGCACCTCCGACCATATAAAGTATATATATTCTTGATCAGGATCAACAGCCGAGTCGATCTAGCCATGTCCGTCTGTCCGTCTGTATCCATGTCCATCTATATATGTCGGAACGGGCCGGATCGGATGACTATATCATATAGCTGCCATAGGAATGATCGGAAAATTTGTCCAAAAAAATTATAGCATTTTCAGTTTTCAACAGAATTTAATCAAATTTGATATATAGCCATTTTATTATACTCTACAATTTTTGTAGAATTTTATGAAAATCGGACTACTATATCATATAGCTCCTATAGGAACGATCGAGAAATTAATACAATTAAAAATTTTAACTTTTTCAGTTTTCAACAGATTTTCATCAAATAATGAGGTATAGCCATTTTATATTAGTCTTAAATTGTGTCAAATTTTATGAAAATCGGACGATTATATCATACAGGTGCCATACAAACGATCGTTAGATGTAGAGGAAAAAAGCATATCTGTGAATGTAACACTCTGTTGATATAATATGTATAGGTGAATGAAATGAAAGCAGGTATTACTTCATTGTTTTTTAACACAAATATATATAATTTATATTGTATGGATTCCTAGTCATAGAAGTTCTATCTGCAAGGGTATATAAACTTCGGCGTGCCGAAGTTAGCTTCCATTCTTGTTTTTTTTTAAATAGCTATAATTAATTTCTCTAGAGAGGACCGATGAACATTGGGGTGGGAGTCCAGACTTGATTGAGTATGTGTCATTGGCTCTCACTAAGTCATTTAGTCACCTTAAGAATCTTACAGATGACTAGATATAGATATAGTAAAGTAAGTTTTGGGAAGCGAAAGAGCTGATTATAGTCCATATGAGGGTAATTGTAATTGCTGAATTAGGGTCGTATTTTTTGCGTTTAGGTTTATTTCAGGGTTGTATTTTTTATTTGAGTAACTTTTGGTTGGGGTTTACGGGAGAGATAGGGATGATCTTAAAATGTTTATATAGAAAGAAATTTTGTTTTATCAGGGAATGGCGATGTGATTATGTTTACCCAAGAAATTTTTTTCCGGCACATGTAACGTAGCTGACGCTTTGCTAAGAGTGAGAATTCGATTTGCTAAAA